TATAACAGCATTAGTGATCATTTCCCTGCTTCCTTTCTCTTTGCTCTCTGACTCTTTTATTTCCTTGGTCTAAGGTGGATCCTTTTCAAACTAGGCAAAATGATAAAAATAAAATGGTGTTGCACATGAACAGCAATTTTTTTAAAAGCATGGATTTAAGAATCAAGAATCAAGAAGCTAGAAGCAGGTCATAAGCTCAGAAGCTATTAGAACAGCAGTTCTGGAGGGAAGCAAGGTAGCCAACCTTAAGATAGTGGCAAAGAGAGCAGGAAAAACGCAGCCAAGACCTACTGTGGACCAAGGCGGCGCAGGACAAGAAACTAGAAACAACGCCGAGCTTCAAATATAATGATAATTTAAAAGGTGCGCTATGTGACCAAAACCAGAAAGATGACTTGTTAAATAAATATTGATTATTCATTACGAAGAGTCATTTGAAAAGAACTGAAATGCTCAAAATGAATTAGTATTACCACAGACAGTTCCAATAATAAGGGATCAAGAGAAATTAGAAAATATGATTTTCTATATATTTCATTATAGCTGTGCCTAAAATACCATTGAATAGTTATTTGTAATCGGTTCTCATTGCTAATCATTGTACCCTATGTCCCTACACCCTAACCATGGCCTCGCGGGGGGCGTGAAGGCAGGAAGGAGCCCCTGCGCTCACATCGCCCGTCCGAAGGCCACGTCCCCGCCCCGGCGCAGTCCCAGGCGAACTCCCTCGGCCTCGCCTCCTGCAGTGGGCCCGGGGGCCCCTCCGTCTACATGGGCGCGTCCCTCTCCGTCTACACGGGAAGTGCTGTCCATCTGCTACTCAGCCCCTTCCTGGGGCCACGGTCAAATCTTTGCGGCTGGGTGGGGCTGACCAGCTGACTGGCGTGCGGGGCCTGGGCTCCCCTGGACGCTTCTGCAGGGCCCTGGACACGTACCCAGGTCCCCGTGGCCACAGCTCAGTCTATGAAAAAACCTCGCGTTTATGGAGCTGAGGCGACCTCGCTGCACTTGGATTGGACCAGGCCCCACCGAGGAAGGGAAACACACACAACACACTTCTCCTTAAACAAGAAAAAGAGTTCGTCCCGATCATTTTACGTCCCCAGTTTACTTGTTTGGTTTGAGGAGGAAGAACAGGACCATTTTTCCAGATTTAAAGATGAGTGAGTGCAGGGGAGCAGAGCCCGGGAGACGCTCACGGGAGGTAGTGTTTGAAGAGCTAGAAGATTCCTCTTGCTTCCAGGAATGAAACGGGGCTCAGTGGCTACTCTGGATCTTCGAATGGAACTGAGCAATAGTGGGATATGTGCCGGGGAAATTCCAGTTTAAATAGTTCTGGAGGTGCCACAGTCCTTGGAGGGTCCTGTGAGACACTGAAATATGAACCTGATTCAAGGTTTTTAAAGGGAACAAGCACTAGAGTAATGCAAGGCCTTAGGACAGTAAGAAGCTCAGCAGCTGCACATTAAGGATGAATTACGTCTTGAACAAACTGATAAAGTAATTCTTGAAAATGATAAAAGTATGGATTAATAGTTTCCCAAGTAAAACTAGATGCAACTATAAGGCCATGAATAACTTTTTCAAGTTAAAACATTCAGTCTAATCACTAAGCTGGAATTGCAGGGAAAAGTAAATGTATCATTTCCACTGTTTTTAATCAATTCTCTCAGGAACCTCTCATTCATGTTTGCTTTTTTCAGTATCGCTAAGAATTCTGAGTTGTATTGGTTAGACACTGGAGCAGATTTTCAAACCATGCAAAATTATACTTTTCAAAAATAAGCTTGGGGATGGAGTTTTGGAAATAACACTTAGGCTCATGCGGACCCCAGTATCTGCTATTTACTCAGAATTGCATGAAAAGGGGGGAAAGGGGGGAAAGGAGAGTGTGAGGCAGCCTTTGCTAACACCAAGTACCTTCATCGTAAAGAAAACTGGGAGGTGTTCTCTGTACATTACAAGCAGCAGAGGTCTGTTTAGATTTTACCTTTGTCAAACAGCAAAGCTGCAGTTCAACTGCCTCGTGTTTTCTCGTGAGCTCATAATCATTACTAAGGCGCAGGGCTGCACTTAGGTCCTGTCACCTGTCACTAGACTGTCCTGCTTCCTGAATCTAATGGTTTCTAAGCGGAAAACACATCGTGCGCCTGAGACAGGACTTAAACACAGGATCGCCCGCCTCAGCGAAGGCGGGGCAAACGTAAGCAACCGCGTGAAAAGTAATAAACCACCACTCACTTCTCAGCCTAAATTATTATTCCTATAAACAGGGTGTGTACCAGGCTCAAAATGTTACACAACAACGTCACGTTGGAACTCAGCACCTGGGCTCTCGAGGGATTTCTTTAGAAGCCCTGTATTTAACCTAAATGTGATTTTTTTTAACCCTTGACAGCTAGACAACCAACTCAATCCTACACTGTATAGTAGTCTGGAACCAACAAAATTTGCTTTGTTCGTTACTAAGTTTTTTACTGGTGATTGACGGCGCAGCAGTAAAAGTTGTGCAATTTTCCGCCATCCTTGTTTCTCAAGGTTTCCTCTGCACTGAGGGTGCTTAATTTTTCCAAAACGATCACTGGCATTATGTCAGGAAACAGGCAAGGGAGGAGAAGTGACAAACACTGAACAAAATGAAATTCACTTTTGGTTACCAAAAATTTAAACAGAAATTAAGACAATTCTGTTCTTATAGTGAGCAAAGAAATTATGAAACTACTTTGCTAAGTTCTCATAAAATGATAGATTGATAAATATTTACCAATTTTAAGTATTTACTAGGCGCAAAACATCACTCAGGTGGCTATGCATGGGCAGAAATCTCCAGTATGAAAAATTAAAAATCCATTGATCTAAATGCTTAAAAGGTCTGGAATACTTTTGAATCTTAATTCACTCTCCAGGGGATGATGCTTTTTTTAAATATCTAAAAGAGCTTCAACAATATATTAAACTTGATCCCACTGACTGACATCTTTATGACTTAGTTTTGCATTTAGATCAGACTTTCTGTCCATAATAATACTCCAAGAAAATTATAAAAGCTGTTAATGTGATATATTCTGGTTTGCCTTTTAATATTTTTATGAATCTAGTAACACTAATTATGAAAATAACTAATGTATATTATATGTTTAAAAATAAAGATAAGCACAGGAAACAATTACTATTAACATTTTCACATATTTCATGCAATGAAAAAGTCTATATAAGTGTAATTTATTCTATATACAATTTATTCTATATAAATATGCAACTTTTATAAAATTTAAAACATAGTGTTTATAAAATTAGAGATACTTTTTTTTACATAATATTTTTATAATCCTTTCCCATATTACTTAACATGCTAAAAAATATCACATCATTTTGATGATGTACAAGATTCTATAATATGGAAATATAAATCATTTAACTATTTCTTCTTTTGCTGGGCATTTGATGTTTACATATTTTTGCTGCACTAATAATACTTTCATGAGATTGTTGAGAAAATCAACATAAAGCCCTTCTATTACTCAAAATAAAGCCTAACAGATATTAATCACTACATACAATAACATAAAGGTTAATAATTATGATTGATATTATAAATTATAAATTTTCCCCTTGTAGTTTTTTCATGAGTTTTACGCTTTGAGATTAAATGCATTTTCATCCAGTTTTTTCTATAGATTTCTTTTTAATAATTCTCTAAAACATCTAGGCATAATATTAAGGGATTGAAGATAAATTTTTGTTCTAATACTAAATCAATTATCTCATATCAAATATATATATTGACTTGTACAATTATTTATGCTATGCCATTATATAAAATATATATATGTGCTCATTACAATATCACATAAATAGTTAAACATTCTTGAATATGAACTGGTTGCTTTCGAATGAATCCCTGAAATGTTTAAGCAGCAGTGTACCTTACTGCATTCCTTTTATTTTAGACAACAAAACAAAATATTTTACCAACAGTTGGCCAATCCTATTTATTGTAACTTTTTTACACAGATTTTCACCACCTGAGCTAAAATAGCAGCTGTCCATGGGAAATAATTGCAGAAATATTTTGCCCATTGGCCTGGAATCAAACATATGTTTTCCCATAACAACTAAAATATAACTTCCTTTTTTGATATGTGTTAATTATCGAGGAGAGTTAATTACAGAGTTATACACCTGGACTGTCAGACTGACATAAAATCCCAGCCTCACCAAAGGAGGGATTTTCACATATATTTCAATTTTTAGTGTTTCCAATATTTGAGATAAGAGTATATTCTTTAATAATTTCTTTTGACACTTTTTAAAATTTAACATTTCTCAAAGATCATGTCTAAACAGAGCAGGGGGAGTCAATAGCTCAGCTCTCCACATCTAATCAGTGTTGGGAGCTAATTTAAAATCACCATGGCGGACAGCCTTTAGTCTGGATGATGATGATTTCCTTTGCACACATATGGAGGGCATTATGATCAGCTTCACAACGCATCTCAAGCATTTCTATTAGTGTACGAATTTTAAAAAACAAAAATTGGTAAGGTAGCAAGTTTTCAACATTTTGGTCTCTATTTCCAAGTTTATTTATATTATTTTCTTGCACGTGGAGTGTTATCTAGTTTGCTTGCAACGGCATTGGGTGAATTTTAGGGTTTTATTACCAAAATAATCAATGAAGAGGCAAAGTCATCTCTCCAAGCAGATCAACTACAATGTGTGAAACACTTGCCAGTGTGCCTGTTGTCAAGGAGCTATGGATAAGCGCTGGGTTTACTGAGAATTGACAGGGTGTGATTCCAAGTGTCATTCAAGATTACCCAAGATTACGACACCTACAGATAAATGCACAGCTTCTCTTCCTAAAATTAAAACAAACACACAATGGTACCATATGGCCAGTCAGTTTGTCTAATATATTTTTCCATCAAAGTGGATATGGCTTCTCAGTAATCTCTGTGAAGTTGCCATATAGAAAATAAAAATAAATCAAGTATTACCTTCTGTATAGTAATGATTCCTTCCTGTGTGTCTTTGTCAACAGAAATCTTGAAAACCCCCAGTCCATCACCATCCACAATCCTGTATTCCATTTCTGCATTAGCGCCTATATCTGCGTCGGCGGCTTTAATTCTGGCCACGACAGAGGCAACTGGCAATGACTCAGGGACATTATATTGGTAAGATCCTGTGAAAGTAAAACAAAAATGAGCCAAGCCTTACACCAAGCTAACCAAGAAAAAAAAAAAAAAAGTATCTAGTTGGCTATTGTGCATCATCTTTGCTTAATTTGTTTTTATTTTTTCATAAAGAAGACGCTAAGGCAATATGAGGCAAGTATCAGACAGTCTCAAGACAGTTCAGGGGGATGACTCGGTAATAATCAATGTGTGACTAGAAACGCAGTGACTAGAAAAGGCAAGGGAAGAATCTCCACTTCTGTACTTTTGGTGGTGGGAACTATGCTAAACACAAAAATAAGTTTAAAATAAGCATACATAGAATTAATATACAACCATCCCATGTAAAGAGAATATAATGAATATAATATAAATATTAAAGAACAGAAGTAGTATAGCTTAGGTTTGAAATGCACAAATACAAGCCTCCATGGTTCTGATTACTTAATGCTGCAATTTACATACTAGTTCCTTTTACTAACAGTTTCGGATACTGGACAGGGGAGTTTAGGAAACACTATTAGCCTTGTTTCAGCTCCTGGGACGAAAGCGGACTGTGGGTTGTATGCGGGGCCGCGGGGGCCATGCTGCCAGAGCAGAGGCAGGATTAGTGGAACGGGGCAAAGAGAGGCAAAAAAGGAAAAGAAACTTTCTCTTGCAAAAATTCCTCTTCAATATCCCTCGACTCAAAAAAAAAACCCCCAAACCAACCAAGTCTGGGAAGCAGGTGAAGGGCCGGGCCGCCCTCTGCGGCGAGGACCCCCTGGGAACACGATGCTCCACCCCGTCCTCTCACCTCCCGCGGCCCCGCTCCTGCGGCCCACAAACGCGGGGCCCGAGGGGAGTGCGAAGGGACATGTGTCCCTGTGACACGATCACATGAGAATCGCTGCTCTCTGCAATTTTCTAAATGTTGTGAATAGTTCCTGATTTTTAAAGAAATGATTACAACATATGCTTATAGTTTTGACCCTTTGCACGTATCCAGGATTGTCCTTAGCAAAATCCAAAATTTTTAAGGTTAGAATAGTAACCAAAGGATGGAGAAAAATCCCAGCAAAAAGCAAAAAACCCAATGGCACATTCTTGGCTTCTCTGCCTTTAGTAAGTAGGAGAGGATCTAATAAACTAGAAAACCTGTGCTCTCTCTCATCACATCATGACAGCTGAAACCATAAAAATTCTGTGTCACTTTTTATCTCTGTAGGCTTAAAGAAAAGAGAATTTTCATTCGGAGCCCAATATAATTATATTATTGTTGGTATATTTTTAATTCTACAATCCTCACCCCCCCCTTTATAAACCATCAAGAGCAAAATTAAGGATAGGTTCATTTTTTTAATGAAATGTCTGCTTTGTAATAATAAAAATATGAAAATATATAAAATGAAAATGAACTATCTAAAGAAGCAGTATTTGAAAGAAAGCACAGTGACATTCGTATCTGCAGAGGAAGCTTCCTCGCCTGACATCACTCGTTCCTAAGGTCTGTGTGTAGAAGCTCAGCTCCCCGTTTCCATCAAACAAGCATTTTAGAGACACTGTAGTCTGTACAATTTCCTCACATCCTTGAACATTCTAAAGAAGTACCACATACACTTACAAAAGAAACAAAAAGGCAACTAAAAGAGCGAGATAAAATGCTTTCCTACAATCAGGACATCTCTACATACAGAATGTGGGTTTTTTTTACCTTTTTCTTGGTTAAGTCAAAAGCCATTTGGTCAAAGAAACTAAATTGAGGGCATGCGGTTTTCTGGTTCTTTAGACTGATTTCTTTTTAAAACACGAGTGTTTGCACAAGAAAGATGTGGCAGAACTTAAAGGGAAGTTCAATGTGCCTGAACTGGTTAAAAAGGGTGGGATAAGAAATGAAAAGGTTCAGGACTGTCCTGTTTTGATTTTTAAAACTAAAGCATTCTTTTATATTACTCATTGCAACAACCACATTAAGTTACAGAATACTTCAAAACGTCTTCAATAAAAAGGTTAATACATAAACAAATGTAATAATCATCTAGCATTCAAATAATGTGCATGAAGAACCGTATATTTAAGAGAGAAATACTACAAATATATGATTGTTTCTATTTGTTTTCAATATCCTTCTTACTCTATATTTCTGAATTTAAACCATGCCCCTGATGAAATGAAATGTGGGAGACTGTAGGAAGATCATTATGTGTTGAGAAGAATTGGAAAACGTTCCTTTTTAAACGCATTTTTATAGACGGGCAGGAAAGCCACGTAACAAACCAGCGGGCTTACTTCGAGGAAAGCGAGGCGGGTTGTCGTTGACGTCGGTGAGGGTCACGGTGACGGACGTGGTCCCCGAGAGTCCTCCGTTTTGACCAACCATATCCTTTGCCTGAACAACAAGCAAATACTGGTCTTTAACCTCTCTATCCATGTTTGGAAGGGCGGTCTTGATGACTCCTGTAAAATTTCAAATCCCAGTAAAAAGCATCACGATTCACTGAATTCACACCGGGGAAGAACACCGACACGGGAGCAGGCCTCGGGGGCGCCTCTGGCTGCTTGTGTTTATTTTTAATAACGTCCATGCGTATGGAAGGCCAGAGAGGAGTATCTTCCAGTGTTATGGCGATATGGTTCAGGAAATGCCAAGTTATAAATAAACAAAACTAACGCCTTCTCTGCAATACGGGGAGTCACCTGTGCAAATATGTGACAGGGAGCCTCTCCTTCCCTTCTCTTCACCCTCTCCAACACCTTAATTCCCGGTGACGGGAAATCACCAGGACCCCTTCAACTATGGTCTCTACTATCCGCTGTTCAGCAAAGTAACGGAAATGCTCTACAAAGAAAAATGCTGAGAGTCGTTTATGTTTAATAAGCAAACACCATTTCAAACTGGGGCTCCGATGCCGTGTCTATAGGTCTGAGGAAAGAGTCCTACAGATGACAAGGGCTGTGCTAATGGAAATCCACACCACTAAGAATACTGGTGTGTTTGGTGGTTGGTTGTTTCTAATCCGTTGCATTGATATTGATAGCCCTTAAATACTTTAGCTGTATGACTGATTGACTTCAGAATTTCATGTTGCTTGATGGGGAAACTTGACTCAGTAATCATTATTGCAGTGAATTCGTTATTTTATATTAATAACTACATTAATTTTATGTAAGCATATTAGGCAATAATATCTAACTATGGGATGCAATTTAGTTTAATGATGTTATATGTAAATATATAAAATGAGATACATACCTAATACATATAATATACTTAGTATATGCATATCTAGGTAATATTAATGAAAATGTATGCATTTAATATTGGTCTGTAGAGACCTTGAAACTAGCAATATGAGGTCATCCTTATTAATTGAATATAAGGAATCCAGAACCTACTTAGTCATTTCTTGCAGTTTCATTTGCACCAATAAAGACAACGCCTGACTTATGCACCTTGGACACGTTTGTTTATTGACTTAGCTTGAAAATGTCTAATCTATTTTATTAAGAGGATTCTAACTTTTAGGATGAAGTCAGGATTTAAATCCTTGCTGACTCACACCTGAGGGAGAGGAAGTCTGGTATCACGGACTTTTCCAGGGGGAAACCGGTTTTTTGATAGAGGATGATTCCTTGGGAAGAAAATAATTCTATACAAATTTGGATAAACATGCTTTTTTCCTCTTGTTCAGCATAAAGATTATTTCAAATCCTCCAAAATGTTTTAAAGCTTAATTTTAAATTGTTTAAAGGCTGATTCTCCAGTGGACACGTATAATAATGGTCTGTGTGTCTTATATTTCAGCTCTAAATATAAGTTATAAGCCAAGGTTATGCTGTACTAGGCCTGCCCTATACTTGACAGTGTCCTATAGCTCGGTAACTGTTCTACGGGTGGGAACAGATGAGAAAAGCTTTTCAATATTTAAGAATAATTTAAGCAATAAATTACTGGTTCCTAAGACTCCAAATGATACGTTAGATATCACTCATACTATACGTAACCACAATTTTTTATAGATCTGAGCATTAGCTATCAAATACAAACACACACACATACATACATACCAGCAATGACATCAGTATTTTAGACATGTAAATTATACTTCAATTAGGCCAGTTTTTTTGTTGCTATTGTTTTTAACAATCACTTATTCTAATATACTAACTGTTGGGCACTGTTGCTATAATCACAGTAGTAGAGGGTCCCTTTGACACTCACTGTGACCCTGTTTAAACCATCTTTGGCTTAGGGTTCTGCAATTTACATGTCTCCGCCTCCCCCCTTTCTTTCTCTTTCCTTTTTTATGTTAATAATCCTTTGTTATTTGTAATGCTTTTTAAAATACATTGATTATTGAATATCAAAATTCTGACTGAGAAGTGTGTTTCATCTAGATGACAAAATATTGAGTTTTATAAAAATTGTCCTATTCATTTTTCAGTTGAATTTCTATTCAGCTCCTGTTTTTCTTCTAACATCAATAGGTGAGTGTTCATCTTTGCACATTTATTTTGATGGAGAGAGAGCCACAGCATCTCAGCTCATCAGCAAAGGGAATTCTGCAGCCCCATCCGCTCAGAGGCTGGCTTAGAGGCACTTTTCTTGAAAGGAAATATAGAATCATTAGGAGAGAAGTCCAGCGGTCAAAGTCACTCACTTATTTTTTGCACCTCTAACTGTGTCTTTACAAGTGATCCTATAAATAACACTTTCCCAAAGCGAAAATCATGACAAAATTTGCAAAGTAATGCAGCTGGCAAAGGCAATTGCTAAATGCTTCAAGTATTAAACATATTTTTTGACAAGGATGAAATAATTGGAAGAGAACTGAATTTAAATAGGGACATTCAAAAGTGACAGATTTATAGTCCTATGGCTTTTGCTTTTAAGCATAAACTGTCTACATTTGGAAAAGCCATCTCACATGCTGGACTGGGTTTGCCTTTTGCTGTGTATTATATAGACACCCAGGCACAGGGCAAGTCCTTAACACTGGCTGTGATGTGGCTGACGCCAGCCATGCTAGTCGCATCCCTACAGTTCTGGCAGGGTTTATGGAAGACAATAATATTTAATTTCAACAACCAATAATGTTCAGCTCCTCTAACGAGAAGAATATTTCCTGCAGCTAATATTTCCTGCAGCTATTTGGAAAAGAGACTGGATCAGATTTTAGGCTTTCTGAATGATTTTTCATCTGACCCAGTAACCCAGAACTTTTCACTTATTTATAATCCATGCCCACAAAAAGCACTGTGCCTGTGCAACATAAATGTATCACTTACTGTTCAACAACTGCATGGTGTTTAGTTGGAAATAAATTTTTCCACAATTCTCTAATATCCTACAAGTCACTGATGATTTTTTTTTTTTTTTTGGCATACTCTGTCACCATGGAATCTTCTTGAGAACTGAAGTGTGCACCACTCCAGTGTAGGGAACCAAACAATCCCTGGGGCCCTCCCTCTGCTCACTCAGGCTCTGGATTAGCCTCGGAGTCCAGGCAGCCCCATGACCCGGGGAACGTGAGGCCGAGGGCATCCGTGCTGTGCGGGTGCAACGTGCACTGGGTGTGCCAGGCGAATGAATCTCTTCCCAATACTCCGTATTTATTTCTAAGTGCTCTGTCGAAGCCCTGGATGACTGGCTGTGTCTACCTTTCAGTGAAGCATACGCTGGAACCATGAAAAGATGGAGAGGAGCCAGCAGTAAAGATGAAAGCTCGGGGACATCAAAGAATTCCAGAGCTGGCACCAAACCGTCCGAGGCGGCGGCTCCTGGAGGCTGAGGGGAGCTTAGCAGCACCCAACAGGCGGTGGCACCTCTGCACCCCGAGCCAGGCCAGGAACGGGACACTTGGCAAGGGCGATGGAAGGAGGATGTTGCTACGTCTCTATTACTCAGGTAACATTAGGAGATAAAGACACATGTAATATACAGGATGGGGCAAACGTGGGCTTACGGCTGTGAGTACGTGAAGCATTTATTCTTATATTACTATTACTTATTGTATGATTTTTCCATTTGAACAACAGTAAACCTACCTTCGCCCCACCCTGCGTCACGCAGGTACCAAGCAGTCAGCAGTCGCACCTCCACGTTTACTAAAGGACTCCTACGTGACAAGAGACATTTGACACCCGAGCCACTGTCCAGGGCCAGCTTCGCAGCCTTGTGACCTGCACCGTCACGCTGGTCCCTTGCATGGTTTCTTGCTCTGCTGATGGCATCCTGAAATCCTACTCATTTTAGAACGAGGAGCCTGCATTTTCACCCTGAACTGCACATTGGCAGCCAAGCCTGCCCTGCGTGAAAGAGGCCGAACACGGGGGGCTGCTTGCCTGCAGGATTACGGCACAGGTGAACTCACCGCAGTGATCTCAGTCCCTCGGAAAGGGGGGGCATTGTGAAGACAGGTGACAGGGGTCTCTGCAGTCCTTTTAACCTGGCCCTCTCGTTTCTAGTGCCATTCTATGGGCTTGATGCAGGAAATTGTCAATATTAGTTTTTGCAGCTGCTCACATCCTTGTTGTAGGGATGGAGAAATTAAGGGGGAAAATACAGCTTCGTCTGGTCATCGGGCCTGTAAGCAGTGCTACGATCGACCACGAGCTGCGAGGTTGCAGCAAGGCTGGGTTCGGGATATGCAATCGATAAGTGGTAACAGTGATTACTAATATGATCTTTTAAAAAAGAATAATATTAAATTTATTATTAATAAAAAAATTAGAAGTTAAAAAAAATGTAGGATGTACCTACTCGTGATTGCCTGGTCCTTTTTTAAAATATAATCTTGAGTTGGCGTATTTTCAGCATCAATTTAGAGATGTAGAAAATAATGTCATTTCTCAGAGAACAACAGCCCGGACACCACGTGGGGAAGCCTGACTCGAATTTAATTTACAGCTCTTCATGCCCCCAAGAAGTAAAAAACTGCCATGTTTGGCAGAAAGATACATTCTTGGGGGCAGAAAGTTCAATCTCCATCTTATGGGTCATGAGAGGGAAAAATTCCCAGGACAGCTCTGCGCTCATGGCGCAGACGGAGAAGCCCCAGTGGCCAGGGCACCAAAGACTCCACACCAAGAAAAACCAGATTCCTTCATCGCGCCGGGCACGACCCTCTAGGGCCTGAAGCGAAAATTAGGTGCAAAGCACTGACGACGTGGCCCCATGCGACAGGCGATCGCCGGTCGCCCGCCCAGCGAGGCCTCCCCTCCCCAGGGCGGATGCAAGGCCGCCCGCTCGCAGGCCCGACGGCGAGCCCGCCACGGGCAGGAGCGAAACGTCTCCCCTCAGGAGGAGCCCGCGCTGCTCTCAGCCGATCACGTAACTGGGGGAGTCTAGTTTGCGAGCCAACTGTCAGCAACGGGCGAGGTCCCGCAGGCGGTCAGGAGGGGCCCCAGAAGGGCACGAACTGGAGCCCAGTCTGCGGGTCTATCGTGGAAGCAGCCACCAGTGTGTCCACATGACTCTATCACAGACAGGGCCTCCCCCTGCTTCATCAGAGCCATTTCTTCTCGCCCTGCCCTGCCCAGGGGCTCTGAGACTCTCCTGCCCCATGGCTGTCAAGCGGCCACCGCGGTCCCCGAAAGCGCTAAGGAACGACAAGCTGGGTGTAAGCTCACTTCTCCGCTCGTGCATGATCACGGCTGCCGTCCTCAAGGGACATTTAGGATGTCTACCCACCGCGGCGATTTGAGAATGAATTACTATTGCCATTTTCAAAATATATAAAAAACAGGGTAAGTGGCATTAATGTATTCAGTTAGGGTCATAGGGACTATCAAAAACTCATAATCATAAACTTGGCTATCTGAAGAGCTCCTATCCGAGATAGCGGCAAAGTATTCAAACATAAGGAAGTTTTGGATTTTCACACCGATGAAGAGACGCCATGGCACACGCCCACTCATGTTCGCACCCATCCACTCCTCCTTCCCACGCAGAGCCAGAAAAGCAGAAATGATAAAACATTATTTCATAACCGAGACAGTGCTCCAAATGACACCCTTACTTAACGTAAACTACTTCAGCTTCAGAGCAAAACACGGCATCTAGCCAAACCACCACATGTTCCACGGAGGCACTCTTGCAACCCATCATTTTTTTTTTTCCTCTTAAAATTAAAAATGAGCCATTTAAGTTGGTCTTTAATTTAACTGGCCATCATCCTGTCTGCAATGCCTAAACTAATTTCCCTGCAAAATCCAGCCTCTAAGAGAAGCTGGATCTACTAGTGATTTGGCTGCACGGCAGGCAGATCTCTGCTGGAAAATTACATTTCACTATGTATAATTCCTCTGTGAGTTCACTGAATAGAAACCAAAACTACTACTTAAAGGTGAATAACCAAGATTTTCGTATGCAGTCAGGAGAGAGCTGTGGAAAGGGTTTGTCATGTATCTTATAGGTAGGAATACTGACAAATGTTTTTTAAACTGTTCTTAAAAGGTGCTATCGTCTTTATAAATAATATGCTACTTACAACCAGAACACACATACTGAAAGAAGCACCGTGAAAACGTTCTCAGTGCCAACTATAGTGCATAAAAATAACTAATATTAAATCACTGCCGAGTGAGAACTGGTGACCTTCTGAAGAGTGTCATGTTGCAGTTTTTACCTGTCCTGGGTTCCACCGAGAAGTACGGCTGGCCCTGCAGAATACTGTAGACCACGCGGGCGCTGTTGCCATAGGTAGGATCGTCAGCATCTGTTGCCGTCACTTGCACCACTGAGGTCCCTGCACGTCAACCCAAAAACCAATGAATTAAAAACTTCCGAAGCCACGAAACAGAAGAACTCACAAAACGCTGACGATTCTACACCCCTAGATGTGTATCTCAGTTTGCATTTTGCATTTTTCTTGTTTCAAGGCGCACGAAAATTTGATAGCAACAGAACTGATATACGCTCATTAAGCCCTCAGAACTATTTAAGGGGCATGAAAACAGGCCGGCACAAAATATACGATTGATGATGCCATTAGACTGGGATATACTCAGAATTGGATGGGACTCAAAGTGTTGGCATCTCATCCATCAGGGTCAGGTAATAAGTTTTCATCAAGAGCAATCTCTCTAAGGCTCAATCGCGGCCCAGGAGGCGGCGCGGCGAGGCGAGCGAGAGCATCCTGACGCCCAAATCGCCGAGGGGATCTCACCGCCGCAGCCAAGCTCGACAGAAACTGAAACTCCATCAATTGAACAACGAAGATTGGATTATTTCACTTAGCGTTTTCATCTCCAGGTCCACAGAAGTAAGCCAGTCAGAGAAAGACAAATACCACAGGATCTCCTTTACGTGTGGAATCTCGTGAAGCAGAAGCATGGGCACACGGAACAGACTGACAGCTGTCGGGGGGGGAGTTTGGGAGACCGGATGGAAGAAGGTGAAGGGGTTAAGAAAAACAAACACACACACACACACATATATATTACATAACACAGGGATACAGACACCAGCGTGGTGATCGCCGGGGGGAAGGGGTGGGGGCAGGTGGAGGTGGGCAAAGGCCAGGAGAAGGGGAACAGAAAGAGGCTTTGCGTCGGGCAGTGGACCACGACGCAGGGTGCGGATGATGTCTTGTTGAGTTGTGCACTTGAACCCTATATGGTTTTGCAAACCAATGTCACCCCAAGAAATCCAATTTAAAAAATAAATATTGGATTAATATTTAACTAGATATTAGTTGGCTACCCTATCTGTTCAGTAATAGTTTTATTTTTCATTTGTTTCTACTAATTGATTTAAAGCAAAAGCATGACATGAAAATGTCAACCAAGCCCGTCAAAGGAGGAAGAACATGACAGTTTTAATAATTGCATTATGAGTTGTTTTTCCACATTTCGTATGATAGAACGCCATACTGCGTCTTCAGCTGGCCACGTGTCCGTTTATTCCCTATGGAAAGCATTCGGTGATCTGTTGTTTTTATTTCCATTTGGAATGTAACCTTAAAAACGTTAGATATGTTTGCTTAGCTTATGTACTTAAGCACATGCTATTTTATCGATTATGTCCTATCTGATGGGAATGGGGCAAGTCCTCTTTATAGTGTATTCTACTAAAGTTCAATTTTAGCTCTAATAATTTCTTGAAAATATGGCATTTTTCATCTAACATTTCCTTTAGATACATTTCTACACAAATCCCCCTTTCTAAATGTCCTCAATAAGTCATTAATGTCCATTTTGTGATAAATCTATTCTCTTTTCCACACTATGATTTCCCTTAGCAATTCCATTTTCTTTAAAATTAGGTTGAAATTATGAATATATATGGCGCCTTTTTTTTTTAATTCTGAAGATTTTTTTGTTTTTTGTTTTCTCTCTTTCTTTCTATGATCTTGGGTGATTGTGCCCCGTGGATGCCTGGTGGGACCAATTAGTGAATAACATGTTTGAAAAACCCTTTTTAAGAATTAAGTTTTGATTTGTTTTAAGATGTTAGAATCGATGACACTGATGTTGTCCATTTCCTCTATAATGCACCATCTTACAGCACTATTCATTCTAGCGATGTGATTAGTACTGATTTCCTACTGCAGGAAATTTGTGTACAATACATATTCTTCTGAAGTGTTCATTACTTTGCTGTAGACACACAGACATATTCTCAAATAACTTTAAAATTTCCATGCTTGCCAATGCTCTTCTGGCAAAAATAAACAATCCTAAGGACTTGTAAGTGTTTTAAATCTTACAATTAGTCAGCATGTAGTGAAAAAAACCGCCCTGAATATAAACACTGAAAGCCTGTATTATATACACCATACTACCTAGTGGTTACTATAACTACTTGGTTAGAATGAAATACTTTGATAAAAATCATTCAACCTATTTTATGTAGAACTTCACTGTTCTTAGTTCAAATGTTGCTATTAACCCAGTGATCTCAATTAGTGTCAATTAATTCCTGAAGACATTTGAAAATTACTTTCTCAATAGTTCTGAACCTGTTGGAATCAAACAACTAAAATAACAACGCGAGCAAAGTAATCATGCTGTTCGGTATCAGGGTGGCACCACTGAAACCACAACCACGGGGCATCCCTTAGGCTCTAAAACAAAGTTCCCCTTAATCCACGTAGCAAAGGAAAACCTTAGCAAGCCAGTGAAGAGCACCCGCCGCCCATGAGAGCACTGGGGTAGAGCTGAATTTCTCTAACGCCCCTCAAAGCTTCCTGTTTTGCTAAACATTGCTCTTCTGGGGAGGACAGTCGCCTTCTCTTTGCTCTAACACCTCCAAAATCTCCGCGCTGCTCTCGTCACTGTTGTCACTGTTGTGACCGTTGTTTCTGTTATTGTGGTTAAGCAGCAACAGCATGAAGCACTCTGAGGATGTGATCTCTACAGAGAAAGTGTGAACAAGCTCATGTGGTCCAAGAAATGCTTGCATAGAAGCTTCTGGGTGAAAACACTGCCACCGTGGTTCAGAGTTTTTCCTGCCCACGAGCATCGATCCCTCTGGCCCATTTTCCATTTGGGTTTATTTGGCAGCAAGAGCCATGGTGGCCCAAATAAATTCCCTCTCCCATCTGATAGGAACAGAAATCTCGGTTCACTGAATTCTGACTTCCCCTGAAGGGCACACATCCCAGCATAGTAGATGTGTCGACTGAATCCTGGAATGAATGAAATGACCCTTATTGAATGTAAAACAAATCACAGTGGGTAAAATTTTCACATGTTAAAATACAAGTTCAATTATTATTTTAATAAGTGTCCTCCTTCGAAACCAAAAACAACAGGAACTAAACAGATAAAGCTATTGGACTCTATTCCAGCCCCATAATGTTTCATGGTTTCCTAAGGTCATCTGAAGTTAAACTCCATACTGGCAGAAACTATTCCAAAGGCACGTGAATATATGGAACTTAGAACAGAGTTTAATGTTATTTGATATAAAGTACATACTAGAAGTACTTTACTTTCTATTTTTCCAGTAATGGGGAAATGTCAAAGGGTCCTGGAGCAAAACAACTTTCATCATTCTTTGTGTATTTCAAACTGAGGATCACTTTCCCATTAGTATAAATTCAACATAAATTTTCATTTATTTAACCTTCTGGAGAAATTAGAAAGAGATTAACTGCGGCATGTGGATGGACATCTATCGTTCAAGAATACTCTACAGCAAAGAGAGCACCAGACCTAAAGGACAGTCTCTCTAGCCACAGGCCACCTGCCTGATACCTGGACCACAGAGAGATGCTCAGAACAGCCCCCCTTATCTACTATCAGGAGACAGAAAATAAAAAAGGTCATCACACGGCTGTGTCTGCCAAGACTTCCTAACTTCTTAAGCATCCTTTTAATGAGCACTTTTAAATTTTAAATTGAAAAGGGAATGTAAAAACTAAGTGGTTTCTTGAAAACATTGAGATAGCTCTTTAAAATAAGTTTTGCCATAAAATTTGCCATAAAATAACGTGTTGAATAATAGGATTTGGGTCCTGGCTACTCACAGGTCTCCTACATTCCCCTCGCCCTACCTGGCAACTGTTATACAAACACATACGATGATGTCATTTTAAACACAAACCCCCTAAAATCAGACACCAAAAAAGCTGTGCGATCTTTACTCACCCACAGGAGACATTTCGGGAATCCCGGCGGTGTACGGGCCGTCCAAGAACTTGGGCTCATTGTCGTTGATGTCCTGGATCTTGATGACGAACTCCGACTCGGGCTCCACGGGCTTATTGGTGAGCCGGTCCAGCGCCTGGGCCCGGAGCGTGTAGTAGGCCTGCTCCTCGCGATCCAGCCTCTTGGTGGCATGAATATCCCCCGTGTTCTCATCGATAATGAAAATGGAACTGGCCCCTTCGCCTGACAAGATGTATTTGATGGAACCATCTCCTTTATCAACATCAGAGTGAAGCTGGTGAAAAATTCATGTGAGATGAGATTAACTTACAAGAGTCAGCGATAGGCAGATATGCAAAATCCATTCTTACGGGGGCAGCACACGCAATCTTATTGTTCTTGGAAAGATTAGCTGGCGCTCGTGACAATTTCATTTCTTCCTGTAAACAGCCTCAGCTCCACAGGTATTTGATATCACTACCAAAGTTAGGGACTTGTGGGGTGTTTTTATCTGACTGGGTCTGTCCTTGCCAGATTTAGAGTTTTTGAACTCAGCCAACATTCAGTAAACATGTATAATGGGCTGATTTGATCTTATTCTAAGCAAAAGGACTTGCTATAGGACATTTGTAAATCTAGATCTAATGTATTTAATATGCTCAGAAAGCCCTGCCTTCTCTAAGGCCGCCCCTCCCTCGCACCCCACTCTCCACTGCCTGATTATCAAGTGTGGCTATGTGTCCATCACTAAATCAGTGCCCAGATCCTGTTCTAGACTTTACAATTTGACGCTGAAAAAAATTCTGCTGAAGTTAAAATTTTAAATCAATATGTGCCTGACACTCCAACTTAAACCCTTTCTCCAAATACCAAGAACTGCATTGGATTTGCACGATTAACCCGGCGTCCGTCAGGGGCAGCCCGGCTGATTTGTGTTTCCTATCTGGGGCTGTCCCCTCCGCATGTCAGAACATGATGCTGGACAGGAGAACCTTAGGAAGCTCAGAAATAATTACCCATTTTCCTGAACTCCATCCCCCAAGAAACCCCAGACCCAATCTGTCATCTCAACCTTCTGTCACTCATTCCCTGGAACGGCCTTCGTTCTGGGCTTGGAGTAAGTGAATGCAAAACCCGATTTCCCCAACGACAAGCCGCCCCGTCCTCCAGAGCGCCGCGTGCCTCTTTAAGAGACAAGGTGTTGCACGCGTGAGACGCGGCCCGAGGCCGGCGCCGCTTCCCCCGGCTCCCGCGGCTCCGCCGCCGCTCAGAGCAGCTGCGCTCATTCCCTGCTTCAGAACAGTCAGACACCTGATTCCCTCTGTAGCTTTTACTCAGGACTAAATAACACCAAAGTAATGAATTTCTGGCACCGGGTATAAGGTAGATCTGTCCAACGTAGATTACCGAGTGGAGCGCTGTTCCGCGTGTCTGTCCAGCACGCGGAGAAGCCGGAGTTTCCTTAAGTCATCCTCAGGGTCACTACTCTGTCCGTGTCTCCCTCCAGTTTAAGGCGGAGAAAGCTGGGGAGTATTGCCGTTTGAGTACTGAGTGCTTCTGGGTGCCGGGCACTATCCTTAGTGCTCCCTGAGCCGTATCTCAGCCCCTGCTCGCAGGGCTCTGTCGTCCCGACTGACGGATGAAGACACCGAGCAGAGAAAGGCCAAGGATCTGGCTGAGTCACACGGCCAGCTCTCTGCGGCCGCACCAGGACCGGGAATCCCGGCAAGCGGGTGGAAAGCCCATCGCCCCCCAGGGCGAGCCTCCCGGAAAGGCTGGCGCAGGCCGCCGGCCCTCACCTGCCAGCGCCCCGCGTCTCAAGGAAACTCGTGGTCGCGTGACCGCTCCCCGAAGGCGCCTCTCTCGGCGGGTATCACAGCAGGACACTGCGCCCCCCAGCAACACGCAGAGAACACCGGAGTGAGACAGGCGCCGGTGCACGGAAACAGGCTGGCTGGCAGCCGCTCGCGCCCCCCGCGCCCCCGGCCCCCTCCGAAGCGCTCCCACCCTCACCGGAGCCTCTCGGGTTCAGAGGGTCTACGTGCCGGCCGACCGCGGTGAACCGTTAGGGAAGATCCTGGGACCACAGGGACGCCGGAGTCCCGCACAGGCGGAGCCTTCAGCCAGAGGTCGGCGTGGCTCTGACCTTATTGGGGACTCACAGAACCAGGCCCTGGGATCCACTGAACTCACTCCCCTCAAAACAACGGTGTTTTCCCCGCATCTCCAATGACGCACGGATTAGATTCCTTCTCTACTCCCACCACACACACACTCCCCCCTTACCTCTCACCCCCACACACTCCCCCCTTACCTATCTCTCACCCCCACACACTCCCCCCTTACCT